TAGGGAAAGAAAGTCAAAAAAAAAAAAACTATGAGAAAGTGTCAACCCTTACAATGCACCAGTATCCTCTAGCCCTTCGAAAACTAAAAGAACTTATGTACATTTCCTAGAAAACATGTCTGTAAATCACCTAGAGTGTGAGGACACTCAACAAATATGTGCACAAACGGTAGAGAAACTAAACTCAGAAATTTATTAATAATTAAAAGCTGAGAAATTAGTTATCATAGGCCATAAGTTTGATTATTTATAGTTGAAAAGAAAAAGAGACAAGCACACAAATAAGTATTGATAGAAAACAACTTATTTTAGAATGTTCTTCATGCTCTTAAATACAGTGTGTATCATAGATAAAAAAAACGTATATTATTAGTGAAACCTATGTGCAAAAGGATGCCACATAACATAGCAAGAGAATCCCAAATTCAGGTACAGTCGTACAGAGATACTTAAGTAGATATGGAGGATTAAGTAATAGAACTGGATTAGTACTGAGTCAAAATCCTTAGAGAATCCATTAACAGCTTAACGGTTCCAATTGTTTGAGAGATATTGGCAACCCCACAACAAAATCCTGAGCCAAACAAGCAACAAGGTTTTAGGCTCTGAGGAGTCATTTGATTCAGACTTGCTATGCAGAGATAGTAATATATGTATTGTGATTCAGTGAATAATGATACATGGGTATCTATGCAATGAATAATATGTAGTGACTGCAATGCCACCAAAGGCAACACTTAGTTTTATCTTATGCACATAATCTTATAAAATAACACATCGATTCTCACATAATTATGCATGTATCAGTTACGCACAGTTTTATACTCAAAACCAATAATCTATTAGGACTCTTATATAATGGATCAGGTATAAATACACGTTCTGTTTTGGCACAGATGATGTCAACACTTGGTAAAGGAAGTGAAAATCTTACAATTGGAGGCATAAGATCCAGCGGACAAGCCAGAAAATGCATATGGATTGAGAGACTTCTTAAGAGGAATAAGCAACTGGTGAGGGACTGGTACATTTGACACAAGGTGCTTGTAGATCAAAGCCTGATGTTCCAATTCCATCCACTGAGAAGGAGTAAATGGACCTCTGAACCTCGCAACAAAAGGGCCACGCGTGCTTTCGTTTGAACCTCCAGAGGCATAAGCTGAACCAAGAAAAAGCACAAGCTAAGAAAGTAGACTTGTTGAGCAAAAATCAATTAGGAGAACTTGCACAGTATAGTAAATTACAGATCAAAAGGTAAGGCAATAGAAAGATCAATTAATCAAAGGCACATAAGGTTGACTGAACTTCATAAATATCTGAGACTCAAATATCAAAAAATCTGATCTTTTCTTTCTTTTTCTCTTTCCCTTTTTTTCCCTTCGTGCACCTACTTTATTGCACCCTTTACTTTTTTCATTCCTTAAATGATGTTTGAGATTTGCCCAATATGTACATGAAAAGACCAGATTTTCCACCCAGTATAGGATATCATTGACAAAGATTCTTCACAAGTTCCTACTTTTTTTCCTTTTTGTTTTTTTCTTTTATTGACAAGACCATCAGAATGTATAGAATACCTCTTTTCTAACATCTACAGTATTTCTTTGAAAAGACCCATCTCCTGTACAGGAAAATAAAACAGCTAAACATGATTAAAACAGATCTTTTGCAAATCCACGTCATCAGCATCCAAATCTCCAAAATCCCCCTATGTCCAGTCATTATCTAAACACAATCAAGCAGCCAAAGAACTTTAAAAAATTATTTAGTACGGAGTACATAACATTTCTGATACCTGAAGCTCTGCTGTAGTGGGATCCAGAGTCAAACAATGGGAAAGCAAGACTCTTGGATGAGTCTTGAGCAGAAGCATTATTAGTAGAAAGAAAAGGGATTAATTCTTCAGACTTAGGAGATGAAAAACTGAGCATAGTGGAGTGACCACGTCCATTATTTGGGGAACCAGATCTCATGAACAAAGTGGGAGTAGTAGGACCTTGCTGTTGGGGCATCTGCTTACAAAGGGCAGAGAAGTCATCTGCTGCTGCTCTTTGAACTTTAGAAGGCCTCCAATTAGTGTCATCACAAGGCCCAGATCTCTCTTGTTTCAGTTGTTGCCCAGATCCATTACTGATCTTTGAGGAGTTGTTAGTCTCAGTTGGAGAGTTGACTGTTTTTGAAATGTTATTAGCAGATTCTTGTATGGTTTCCATTGTCATCACCCCACCAAAATCCATACTTTAAAAAACACCACCCTATGAAAGTTTCACAGAGCATGAGTTCATAACAAGAAAACTCAGACAAAGACAGAGAAAAAGGAGGCGCAGCTTAAGGGAAAAATTATATGCAGAGAAAAGAAAAAATAGTTGAAACTATTTGGACTAGCTTATGGGAGAGAGGGAGAGAGAGAGAGAGAGAGAGGACAAAAGTAGTACAAAGGGCAAAGACCATCTTCTACATCTCGGACACTGGAGACATGTTAGCCCATATATATCTAGTTTTGTTTCCCAAAAAGAAGCTGAGTTACATTAAGCGCAAACCTATATTTAGACAATTTTGTTAGTCTAACATAATTACACCATTCTGGGGATTTGTGATATCTACCGAACTTGCCCTCACTGGCTCGCTTTCATTTACATGACAATTTAGATCTCATAGAATTAGAAAGAAAGTGACGTTTTCTTTTCCCCCTATTATGAGTTACATAGGGCCATGATGTTTGTTTGGATTATTCATAGGGAACGAATATCTCGACACACCTTTTTTTTTACTTTTTTTAAACAAAAAAACTTCTAAGGAATAAGATACTTTTTTTCTCAAAAACATCAATTATCCAAACATGTTTGGACAAATTTTCAAGAAACATCTATTCAAGCGAGATTATAAATAGAAACCTAACATCAGTGTAAGAAAGAAAATTTGATAGTATTGAATAATTACAAATTTAATGCATAATTATTTTTCAGTAAATATATACTGAACTGATCAAGAAATCATTTTGAAGATGGTAAACATGCATTCATTTTACCAATTACAAACCGAAATGGGAAAAAAGAGATGTAATCTAAAATTTGCTCTGGATGAGACCTTTAACTTATTGACAGAACCGCGAGAGTTAAAATTTTATGAGGCTAACGTTCTTATAGATATGTCATTTGCTTCATGCAAGTTTTACGCATTGAGTTGCATGTCAGTCCGAATGTATACACTCTTGATGATTTACATGGTTCGTCTTGTATACCTTATATACTTTCGAAAGAAAATTCTTTAATTATTTGATCATATCTTGTATACCATATTATTGTTGTTTTTACCAATTAGATATTTTGTACATATATTATTAAGCCGACGTAGTTAAATGTATCATTTGTATGCTTTTGGGGGTTTTTACAGAAGCTTTACTTTACATTGATTATTTCATATTTTTAAATATATTTTCACTTTAAATTTGAAAAAGTTCATGGAGATTTACGTCGTGTTTTATGATATAAGGTAAAATTGCACTATTTAAGCCGTCATTCAATATTATAATAAGTAACACGCAAATCTCCATCTCAATTGAGAATGTTGAAATGTTACAAAGAAAGTGGTAAAACAAATATGAAAACCTGTTAAATTGACAGTTGAATTCAGGAAAGTAGTACATAAGGAGTATAAAAATTGAGCATTGTCACATTCCAACCAACAAATGCTTTAAGCTGAACTCTTACCAATTGGAGATGATTAGCAGGTTTAATGAGTCATGAAAATGAGACGCAGTTATGCATCCTGCTAATTCCTAATGGAGGAAATGTGGTTTTATACTATTCCTGTACAGGAATATGAGTAATGAGTTGTCTATATTTTGGGTATTAGATAGCGGAATGATGTATTAAAATGACGAATGGCCAACAACTACCACAAATATTTGTTATTAGCTATACATAAGTAATGTGTGACAAAATTGTCATTTAGGAAAAGAATGCTTTACTATCGTCGTGGGTGGAGGGCCATGCCCATTGGGTGATTATGCATCCAACTGACGGGTGGCAAACATGCAGCGGGCAACTCACGACACGACAATTCTACTTGTGTAACGCATTACTTCTCACAAATATTTCTGTCCCTTTTCTCATGACAATTGTATTGTGGAGGCTATAGAGACTTTGGTTGGTGTTATAATCTAAATCTAAGATACAAAAATATCTTGTTATTGTGCTATTCTTGTCTAGTGGAAGGAGATATATACTTTGTTAACTTTCCAACTCGTAAAGTTCAGACTTCGTTAAGTTATGTTCTTGATAGGATTATTTTTTTCTTCAAAATCGGATAATAATTAAATTTGTGAGTAATTTTTAAGGATACGTAAATTCATTTGACACAAAGCAGTAAATAAAGACAAATTAAATAAATAAGAAAGAAGTAAGCTCAAACCACGCGAGGAAGATAATTTAAGCCTTGGTGAAATATTTGCCCTCGATGTGGGCTTGTAACAACAAGAACTGACGGACGAAAGCAAAAGAACTAATAACAGAAAAAAAAAAAATATATTGCCTTTGAATGTTTGTTACAACCTCTTTTATGAATTATCAGACCCTCATTATATAGTAGAGGAGTCTTACTTTAGGTACAATTATATAAAAGGTAAAAAAAAATTAATTTACTGATTGCCGGTTTTTTATCGGTACGTGTCGAGATTTTCGCCGTAATACCCGACCGGTCACGGATATTTCGGTCTTCTATTGGTTATGCTAGCAATGTTTCTTCAAAGTCGCTTGAGGCTAGGAACGATTCCGGGATCATCCCGAGTTGAACTCATCGTCCTCGACCGACGACCCCAAGTTAGTAAGGGCATTGACCTCACTGTTTTGATCCCGAGGTACGTGTTGTAGAGTCCACTCCTTGAACCGATGTAATGTTACCTGCAACTTATTCAGGTACCTTTTTATTCGTTCCTCTATGACCTCGAACGTCCCGTTAACTTGGTTCACCACAAGGAGGGGGTCGCACTTAGCTTCGATCACCTCCGCCCCCAAGCTTTTGGCTAGTTCGAGACCTGCAATCATGGCCTCATATTCGGCCTTGTTGTTAGTCAATTTTACAGTTATAACAGATTGTCTAATTACATTGCCTGTTGGTGGCTTCAATACGATGCCAAGTCCGGACCCTTTTGCATTCGAGGTACCGTCCGTAAAGAGGGTCCAGATCCCCGAAGAAGTCCCCGAGTTCAACAATAACTCTCTTTCGACCTCGGGTATTAGGGTCGGCGTAAAGTCGGCCACAAAATCTGCTAAAATTTGAGATTTAATGGCGGTCTGGGATTGATATTCAATATCATACCCGCTGATCTCCACGGCACATTTGGCCAACCGTCCTAAGAGCTCAGGTTTATGCATTACATTCCTCAATAGGTAAGTAGTAACAACACATATTTGGTGACATTGAAAATACGGTTTCAGCTTCCTAGAGACGCTTAGCAAAGCGAGCGCCAATTTCTCTAGGTGAGGGTATCTAGTTTCGGCCTCGCCTAAAGTCCTGCTAACATAGTAAATTGGAAATTGCGTACCTTTCTCTTCCCGGACTATGACTCAACTTACTGCTATCTCCGATACTGCCAGGTACAGTTATAGCTGCTCGTCTATCTTCGGCGTGTGGAGTAGCGATGGGCCCGATAGATATCGCTTGAGCTCCTCCAAGGCCCGTTGGCACTATGGAGTCCACGAGAAGTTATTCTTCTTTTTGAACGGTGAGAAGAATCGGTGGCTCTTGCCGGAAGACCACGAGATGAATCGCCCCACAGCGGGTATGCTTCCGGTTAATCTTTGTACAGCCTTCACGTTGTCCACAACAGTGATATCTTCGATGGCTCTAATCTTATCGGGGTTGATCTAGATTCCCCGGTTGGATACCATGAATCCGAGGAATTTACCAGATCCGACTCTGAATGCACACTTCTCCGGATTGAGCTTCATATTGTATTTTTTTCAATATGCTTAAGGTTTCCTGTAAATGTTTCAAATGGTCCTCTGCTTGTAGGGACTTAACCAACATATCGTCAATGTAAACCTCCATTGATTTTCCTATTTGTTCCTCGAACATCCGGGTTACTAGGCGTTGGTAAGTGGCACCGACACTTTTTAGTCTGAATGGCATCACGTTATAGCAGTAGGTGCCGTACTTAGTGACGAAAGAGGTTTTTTCCTGATCGCCCGGGTTCATCCGTATCTGATTGTACGCGGAATAGGCGTCGAGAAAACTGAGGATCTTATGGCCGACCGTTGCATCGATCATGCGATCGATGTTGAGCAGAGGGAAGGAGTCCTTGGGACATGCCTTATTCAAGTCTTTATAGTCTACAGACATTCTTAATTTATTCCCTTTTTAAGGACTATCACTACGTTTGCTAACCAATCTGGATATTTTACCTCCTGAGTGGACCCTATTTTAAGGAGTTTACATATCTCATCCTTGATGAAAGTATGTTTGACCTCGGACTGGGGTCTCCTCTTCTGCTTGACCGGGTAGAACTTCGAGTCCAGGCTTAGCTTGTGAGTGGTTATTTCCGGCGGGATCCCTGTCATATCAAGGTGAGACCAAGCGAAACAATCTTCATTAGTTATAAGAAATTGAATGAGTTTTTTTCCTGAGCTCGGGGCTTAACCCCGTGCCCAGGTATACATTTCGATCGGGCAAGTGTTCGATTAGTACGACTTGCTCCAATTCATCGACCGTTGATTTGGTAGTGTCGGAATCGTCGGGGGATATGAAAGATCTGGGAACTCTGTAGTCGTCGTCCTCATCTACCCCTTGTGTCTCCGATTTTGTCGAGGCCGGTATCGGTAATTGCTATTTGGCCTCGTCTTTGGCCATCGGATTCTGACCCTTCTATATCGAGAGTGTGGATGCCGATATCACCTCATCAACCGCGAACATTCCTTGGCGGCCGGTTGTTCCCCGTAAACTATTTTGATTCCTCAGGGTGTTGGGAATTTCAGCACCTGGTGCAGTGTTGAGGGTATTGCTCTCATGTTGTGAATCTATGGCCTCCCGAACAAAGCGTTGTATCTCATATCTCCTTCGATTACATAGAACTTGGCTTCCTGAACGGTTCTGGCGACGTTCACCGGTAACATTATCTCCCCTTTAGTGGTATCACATGCCATGTTGAACCCATTCAGGACTCGGACCGCAGGTACGATCTGATCTTGTAGGTCGAGTTGTTTCACGACCCTCGATCTGATGATATTGGTTGAGCTACCTGGATCAATTAACACACGTTTAACCCGAGATTTATTTATGAGTATCGATATTACCAGTGCATAGTTGTGGGGCTGCACGATCCCCTCAGCGTCTTCATCGTTGAAAGACAAGGTTCCTTCAGGTACGTAATCCCGAGTCCTTTAACCCCTTATGATGGATACTTTGGTGCGCTTCAGCATCGACCCCTGGGGAATGTCGACCCTACCAATGATCATGTTAATGACTTACTGAGGTTCCTCCTTCTCGGTCTGTTTATTAGAATCCCTATTCCCGAAGTGGTTCTTGGCCCGATCACTCAGGAACTCTCAGAGATGTGCGTCATTGAACAGCCGGGCCACTTCCTCTCTTAATTGTCGGCAGTCTTTTGTTCTATGGCCATGAGTGCCGTGATATTTGCACATTAGGTTAGGATCGCTTTGGGCTGGATCGGACTGTAAAGGTCGAGCCCATTTGGTATCTTTGATGTGCCCGATGGTAGATACGATAGCAGCGACATCGACGTTGAAGTTGTACTCTAATAACCATGGCGCTTCTTTAGGCCCGACGGGCCTGTCGAAGCTATTTTTGCTCATGAGTCCTCGGTTGTTTTGACCACGGTAATTTCTCCTTTCATTTCTCATAAGGTTCCGCCCAGACTCACTACTTCTTCGGTCTCCATTGTACGACTGATACCGATCCCTGTTTGATCTCGGTTCACGATCGATGTCTCTCTTGACTCTGTCGAAGGTTATGACGGGATATACGGACCTGGAAGGGGCCCTAAGCTGATTGTCTTAGATCCTGATTTTTGATTGATACCGGTTATGAATATCGGCCCAAGTGACAGCTGGATATTCTACCAAGTTTTGTTTCAACTGTTGTGAAGCCAACGAGTTTCGAATGTTGAGTCCTTAGGTGAAAGCCTGAATGACCAATCATCAGCGACCGGTGGCAGGTCAATTCGTTCCATTTTAAACCGGGACACAAATTCTCTAAGCATCTCATTATCCTTCTGTTTTACTTTGAAAAGGTCTGACTTCTTTGTCTCGACCTTGATAGACCCGGTGTGTCCTTTTACGAAGGAATTTGCAAGCATAGCAAACGAGTCAATAGAATTAGGAGGTAAGTTGTGATACCATAGCATAGATCCTTTGGATAAAGTTTACCCAAACTTTTTCAGCAGGACATATTCGATATCGTCATCTTCCAAGTCGTTCCCTTTAATGGCATGTATAGGAGGTCACATGCTCATTTGGGTCGGTCGTTCCGTTGTACTTAGGAATTTCGGGCATGCGAAACTTTTTCGGGATTGGCTTCGGCGTTGCGCTCGGAGGAAAAGGTTTTTGAACAAACCTTCTGGAATCCAGGCCCTTCAATATCGGGGGTGCTCCTGGGATTTGGTCGACCCTGGAATTATAGGTTTCCACCTTTTTGTCATTGGCTTCGATTTTCTTCTCCCCCGATTCTATCCGTTTTGTCACTTCCTCGAGCATTTTTATGATCTCAAGGTTAGTCCCCGATTCATTTTCATTCGGTCACTCCGTGATTGGTTCATTTCTGCGGGTGCAGGTTCAATTCTACTTGGCGTGCGGCTTTGGTTCTGTAACTATGCTATCGCCGCATGTTGAGCCTGCAACATTTCGAAGATCACCCGTAAATTGATCTCGTCCCCTCCAATATCTTGTGTATTTCGAACTGTTGATCGGGCTTCACCACAGACGCTATTCTCGGGGTCAGTAGGCAGATTTGCGTCAATGGCCACATGCGAGTTGGCGTCAATCTGGTCAGCGACCGGAATTCCGATGGGATCAACAGGCGGCACCTTGCCACTGGGCACTATGTTATTTTTTTTGCTGCGATAACCGGACTCATCGCTAACATGTAGAGGTGCTGACTGGGAGTTTGACATTTTTAGATTTAACCTGAAATTAGAGACACTCCAAAGAACAAGTGTAAAGTATTGTGTGTTATAGAAATTTATATCAAATAGCCACTATTATCCTTAGCCCCACAGTGGGCGCCAAACTATTTACCCTCAAAATCGAATAACAATTAAATTTGTGAGTGGTTTTAAGGATACGCAAATTTATTTGACACAAAGCAGTAAATAAAGACGAATTAAATAAATTAGGATGAAGTAAGCTCAAACCACACGAGGAAGACGATTTAAGCCTTGGTGAAATATTTGCCCTTGATCCGGGCTTGTAACAACAAGCATTGACGGACGAAAGCAGAATAACTAATAACAGAAAAAATAATGATATATTGCCTTGGAATGCCTGTTGCAACCTCCTTTATGAATTATTAGACCCCCTTTCTATAGTAGATGAGTCCTATTTTAGGTACAATTCTATAAAAGGTAAAAAATCTTCTGATTTACTGATTGTCAGTTCTTTATCGGTACGTGCCGAGATTCCCGCCGTAATACCCGGCCGGTCACGGATATTTCAGTCTTTTGTTGGTTATGCTGGCAATGTTTCTTCAAAGTCGCTTGAGGCTAGGACCGATTCCGGGATCATGGTCTCGATATTCTCGAAGGCAGGTGTCCTGTCTCCGGGTTCTAGCCGGTGGGATTTGGGGTCGATTTTCAGTCCTTTATTGTCATGTCTCGAGTCTGACTTACCATGTCGGGGAATAGGATGCACCACGAACTCGATTTCAACCGTATACATAATTAAAAAGAATTTTTCCTTATTCACATGATAAAATTCCCTAGGAAAATGATAATAAAGTCATGAATAACAAACTATGAAGTGTAGAATCAAGACTGACTACATTATAGTGAATAACAAAACATAAAGCCATTCAATTGACGAATGCATTCTTTCTGGAAAATTGAATGGTTAGACACTGACTCCTCCGTGATAGATCGTGATCGCCTATTCGGAAAAACTTAGTGACTAAGAAAAAAATCAGAAGATAGCAAAACGCTAGTTGTTATACAAATATCCCGCCAGATTCAATGTTTATTTTTATAACCGATATATATAAATTATATATTGATTATACACAGTTATACATATATTAAACATAAATTGTACATATATTATATATCCACCGGCTATTTATCGTTTAAGAGATTAGGTGAACGGCTATTTGGGTTATTTCTTCTTATTTATTGGTATATTAATGCACAAAGAGTGGGCATTATTTTGTTTAAGCAAAAAACAAGGCTCTTAAAATATTAGGCAAATTTTTAGATTTTTAATTATTACTAATTAATTAGCTTTTAAATATTTTAACTGTTTGGTTCCCCTTTGATTTTTTAAAATCTCAAGAAAACAAAAAAAAACTAATTTAATAATTGTGTATATTTATATACATCTAAAATACACACATTAAAAACAATCTACGGAACATATGACTTTGACTAAATGTACATAATGAAGAACAACTCAGTGGCTTAGTTCAATTAATATATCAAGCTCTAGGCCACAAAGTACTTTTGGAAGCACTCAAAGAAAAAACTTAATGCCCAAGATTAAAACATCTGATATATTAAAAAAAAATAGAATTGAACAAGACCGATATCATTTCGATAATGAATTCGTCCGTTCGAATCCAAAATCTGAATAAATGAAAATTGATTGAACTAAGGGAATCTAAGAACAAAAAGAGGAAATATATCTTTTTTCGACATGCAACGGCAAGAGTAATTTGTACGTAAAGCATGTTGTTTACCTTTAAAAATGGATAACAATTGAATTTATGTGCGGTTTTAAGAATATATGGACTAATTCAATACAAGTGATTAAGAACGTTAGATGAGCAGATTAAAGATGAAAATTGATCAAACCGGTAGTAAGACCGAGTTCGGGCTGGTTATGATCCAAACAATTAGCATGCCTTCGATTTGGAGCCAAAAACTTATGGAGGGCTATGAACAAAACTAAGAACTTAAAATAATCTTTAGAAGTAAAGGAAACACATGTATATTGCCTTGGTATGCGTATTACAGTGTCCCTAATGAATAATCAGCTTCCCCTTTATATAGTAGGGCAGTTTTACCCTAAGTATATTTCTAAGAAAGGTAAAAATCTTCATTTTCACCAATCACTGATTTGCCGAAATCGAGGAGGCAAAAAGATTTGAGGCCGAGGCGAAGAAACTAGCCGAACCCAAAGGCTCTAAGGGTTCCAAAGGATCCGAAGGTTCCGGCGGCTCTGGCGATTAAATCGGGCTCCGGTGAAGATCAGGTGTGAATGCCTTAGATTTTTTTTTCTTTGTTTTTGTGTTGTGTAGATATTTTTTGTTTATTTCGAGGCCATTTTTGTTGTGCCTATGTAAAGATATTCCGGAATATATAAAATTTCTCCTTTTGGCAATTTCAATTTTTTTAGCATCTTTTCACAATTTCTATTCTTGCAAATATTTTTAGTGCCTTAGTATAGAATCAAATGTAGTAATAAATCGTTTGTTTTTCGGAGGTCCAAACAGGACCTGATCTCGATGCAATTTGTTATTTGCTCGAAGCTTTGAAAACTCGAAGTGACCAAAAGTTTTTCAAAAATGCTTAAGTGTTCTTAGACGATGCTTTTACCGAGGGTAACCTTTTGGCAAGTTTTGAATTTTTATTGAAGGCCTTATATTTTGATTACGGGTTTCGGATGTCTCCGAGCCGTTTTTAGGGCGACCGTATCCTTTTAGGTTTGGGCTCTACCTAATAGGTTTTGTGCTTCCGAGTTTTGATAACCCGAGTTGTCCGAACTTATTTCAGACGACAGTCCCCGAGTGGGGGTAGCCCTTGGGCTCGAATAGGGGTAATCCTTGGGCTTGATAGTCCCCGGGTAGGGATAGCCCTTAGACTCGATGCTTTAAGAGGAAAAAATACGTAATAGCAAGGTAGAAACTTTCTTTCATTTCTGTGTGTAAAGTACAAGATTGAAAGCGTGTAAAAGCTTGTATTATGGCTAAGGTGGCCTACACAGAAATGGTTCACTTGACCGTTTGGCCCTTACAATAAATCCTAACCACCGAGCCTAGGCTGTTCAAGCACAAAGTTTCCTTCTTTCCTTGCTAAGAAGCATGACCCGAGGGTGATGCCCCCCAGTATTCGAGGTCGATCTTGAAAGGGATCCAATACCGTTGATGAGACTATTGACTTCGATTTAAAACCGGTCTTAGATTCTAAGTTAGCACGGCTTAATGTTGCCTCGTTAAAAACCTTGCCGAAAAACTCATTTGGGTCAAAACCGGTTCAAGAGAAAAAGAGTATAACGCGTGCTTTAAAACCTAATAGTCACATTCTCCTTTGGTTGTTGCCTGCAAGGTTTAGTCTGATTCGCAGTATTATAAAAAGGTGAATGAGACCGTACCTTAACAGTAGTACCGCTTTAAGTGTGTCACGTTCCAGTTGTTCGGTAGCTGTGCACCGTTTCCTGCTTCGAGTTTGTACGAACCTTTACCGGTAATCCCGATGACTCGATACGGTCCTTCCCAATTTGGCCCCAGCTTCCCCTCGTTCGGGTTCCGGGTGTGCAGCGTCACTTTTCTTAATACCAAGTCCCCGTTATTGAAGTGTCGGAGGTTGACTCTTCAGTTGTAATACCTTTCTATCCACTGTTTCTGGGTGGCCAACCGGACTAGGACGACCTCGCGCCTTTCATCCAATAGTTTTAGGCTCGTGCTCATCGCCTCACCATTTGATTCTTCAGTCGCATATCGAAATCTGAGGCTCGATTCTCCCACTTTGACCGGTATTAGTGCTTTGGCACCGTAAACCAATAAAAATGGAGTGGCCTCGGTACTAGCTTTCGAGGTTGTACGGTATGCCCACAAGACTTCGGGCAGAAATTTCTTCCATTTCCCTTTAGCATCGGTCAATCTCTTCTTTAGGTTTTGAAGTATGGTATTGTTTATTGATTCTGCTTGTCCGTTCCCACTAGGGTGATAGGATGTTTACAAGATCTTTTTAATCTTGTGATCTTCGAAAATTCTGTTACCTTGCTGCCGATGAATTGCTTCCCATTATCACACACGATCTCGGTAGGTATCCCGAACCGGCATATTATGTGGTCACAAATGAAGTCCATGGCTTCTTTTTCCTGGACTTTCTAGAACGCTTGAGCATTGACCCATTTAGAGAAATAATTGGTA